CCTAACCTTGCGGTTAGCATTCCAGTGCTTGTCCTACAGCACCACACCAGGACTCCTTTGTTGTTGTTGTTGTTAGTTGCCATCGAGTTGGCGCCGACTCATAGGAACCCTATGCACAGCAGAACAAAACAATGTCCGATCCTGGGCCAACCTCACTACTGTTGCTACACCCGAGCCCATTGATGCTGCCACCTGGCCAATCCATCTCATTGGGGGTCTTCCTCTTTTTCTCTGACCCTCCATCTTACCAAGCATGATATTCTTCTCTAGCAACTGTTCCCTCCTGACAATATGTCCAAAGTATGAGAGATGTAGTTTGGCCATCTTGGCCTCTAAGGAGCACTCTGGCTGCACTTCTTCCAAAACAGATCTATTGGTTCTTTTGGCAGTCCATAGGCATGTTTAGTATTCTCCTCCAACACCATAATTCAAAAGCATCAATTCTTCTACGATCTTCCTTATTCACTGTCCAGCTTTTGCACCCATATGAGGTTATTGAAAATACCATGGCTTGGGTCAGGCGTACCTTAGTCCTCAAGCTGACATCTTTGCTCTTCAACCCTTTAAAAAGTTCCTGTGCAGCAGATTTGCCTAATGCTATACGTCGTCTGATCTCTTGACTGCTGCTTCCGCAAGTGTTGATAGTTGATCCAAGAAGAATGAAGTCCGTGACAACGTCAATCTTTTCTCCATTGATAAGAATGTTGTTTATTGGTCCAGTGGTGAGGATTTTTGTTTTCTTGACATTAAGATGTAATCCATACGTAAGGCTGTGCTCTTTGATCTTCATCAGTAAATGTTTTAAGTCCTCTTCACTTTCAGCAAGCAAGGTTGTATCATCTGCATATCGCAGGTTATTAATGAGTCTTCCTCCAATCCTGACGCCACATTTTTCTTCATAGACCCCAGCTTCTCGTATTATTTGCTCAGCATACAGGTTGAATCAGTATGGTGAAAGAATATAACCTTGTCGCACACCTTTCCCAAATTTAAAACATTCAGTGTTCCCATGCTTTGTTCAAACAACTGCTTCTTGGTCCAGGTACAGATTCCTCATGAACACAATTAAGTGCTCTGGAGTACTCATACTTCTCAATGTTGTCTATAGCTTGTCATGATCCACACAATCAAAAGCCTTTGCGTAGTCAATAAAGCACAGGTACACATCTTTCTGATATTCTCTGCTTTCAGCCAAGATCTATCGAACATCAGCAATTAGATCTCTCGTTCCACAGCCTCTTCTGAATCCAGCCTGAATCTCTGGAAGTTCTCTGTCAATGTATGATTGTAGCCATTTCTGTATTACCTTTAGTAAAACTTTACTCACTTGAGATATCAAAGAGATTGTCTGATGGTTTCCACATTCTGTTGGGTCACCTCTCTTTGGAATGTGCACAAATATGGATGGATGTCTTCCAATCAGTCGGCCAGATAGTTGTCTTCCAAATTTCTTGGCAGAGATGAGTGAGTGCCTCCTGTGCCGCCTCACTTTCTTGAAATATTTCAATTTTTATTCCATTAATTCCTGGTGCCTTGTTCTTTG